GGGAAGAGAAGTTTTGCCTCCAGGCAGACATTGGTGTAAATCCTTGCTGTAGCACATGCCAGCTGTGCAACCCAGAGGAAGTTACCCAACTTCAAAAAATCTCAGTTTGCTCCCATGGAGAATGGAAATTATAACACTATATTTAAGAGGATATTTGGAAGAATCAAATACCATGATGCAAAGCACTTAGCACGGCGCCTGAGGCATAACAGACGCTAGAAAGAGCCTCAGTTCCCTTGCCTGTCTTCTCCATGGATTCATCCACATCCTTGTAACGCCCTACATTCTGAGCACACAGGATTATAACCATTCCTCCTCCGGTTCAATAAGAAGGCAACCCTGGAAATCAGAGACTCAATCCTTGTAACGGAGAGAAGAACTGGCATGAAGTGCTAAGAGTAGAAGTGACATCAGAGCCTGTTGGAGGCTGTAACAGGAAACACTGGCAAGAGAGAGGCCTTAAGTTTAAAGGGCGTCATGAAGTCAAAAGAGACAAGCATTCAGGCCTCCTGAAGTCCGCTGTCTACTGAAGCAGCCATCCATGCCTCTGGCCAACGTTGCCACCAACAGGATCCTCCCACGTGGACCCTGAGCTCTCCACCACCTGCATCAAGCCCCAGCCAAGGAGAAGGATGGGTTGCCTGTTTCAGAAGGAGAGGAACTGGCTACTGACAAGACAGCTCCTAAAACATATATGCGGCTCCAGGGTGGTTAAATGGGAGGAAAAGGCACTCCTAGGCAACTGCATCATAGCAACATCCTGAAGGGTCTGCTTGCACCGTGCCACACAGGACCGTTACAGCCTCGCCGAGGACTCAGCCGCACCCTCAGAGGATGAAGCGTGAGTGTGGCGGCTGGTGTGTGGCAGGACCGGCCTAGCGATCACGCTACCGCCAGCCCTTTACATCAGACGGAGGAAGAGCGCCCTAGGGAGAGAACTGCCCCAGGACAGGACCTCCTTCTCAGTCAGAGACAGCGGCCTGTGAGGAGAAAGCCAGGACGGCCAGCAGACTTTTTCAGAGAGGAAGACAGAGCTGCAGGAGGAGAGACGCTGGCTGTCACGCCCTCCACCTCAGATGAGGATCTGAGCTCTAGGGGGAAACACTCTGGAGGGAAAGCCCACCTTTACACACAGAGACAGCGCTCAGTGAAGACAAACGTTGAGTGGCCGACCTTTTTCAGATAGAGAGAAAGCCCTCTGAGAAGAAATGCCAGAGGGTTAGCCCTCCACCTCATGCAGAGAAACAGAGCCCTCTGAGGAGAAAGGCAGGGGGTCGGAGCTCCCCTTCAGTCAGAGACTGCGCTCTAGGCTCTAGGAGGAGAAAGGCTGGCGAGCCAGCCGTCTTCTTTGGGATGACCAGCTCACTTCTCCAGGCAGAGAGATACAGCTCTCTGACAAGAAACACCTGATGGATGGAGGTTCTCCACCTCAGACAGGGAGACCGCACTCTGAGGAGAAATGCCAGATTGCCAGCGCTCTCCCTCAGAAAGAGAGCCAGCGCTTTATGAGGAGAAATCCCGAATGGTGCCCTTCGTTTTCAGACAGAGAGAAAGGGTTCTGAGAAGAAAAGACAGATGCCCACCTCTCTTTTTCAGACAGGGAGACAGCTCTCTATAAGGCGAAATGCCAGAGGGTCAGCCCCCCTTCTGCAATGGAGAGACAGCGCTGGAAGAGGAGAAACGCCCCATGGCAGACACACAGCACCTCAGATAGACACACTGTGCTCTAGAAGAGCGTGACGGAGACATGTTCCATCGGCCCTCATTTTTGGACAGAGAGACAGTGCTCTCTGAGGAGACATGCCAGGTGTCCACCTCTCTAAAAAGAACAGGAAAGAATCATATGAACCGATCTGACAAACATCCAATGTATATATTGTTAAATAAAAAAAGCAAGTCGCAGAACAATATATACAGAGTAGTCCCATTTTGTTTAGAATATACACACAAATAAAATTGTACCTGTCTCTATGTGTGTATATGTTTTTACAAGTCTAGAAGGATGCACACAATACTGGTGACAATGTTTCTCTCTGGGAAGGAAGGCAGGATTCAGTGGGGTGAGAGAAGGAGAGAAAGAAAGGGGACATCTGCTTTTTGCCTCTATAGTTTTTTCCATTTTGCTGGAAGTTTATAAATTGAGAATGTTTTCGTATGTTATTTGTGCATTTATGGATATGTAGTGAGGAAGTAAGGAGTTTGGGAGGAGGGTGAGAGAGTATTTTTCAAGAGTCAACTACTGCCAGCCTTTGGGTGAACTCTCCTTCCAGAAGTCCCCCTATATTACATACACATATACAAATAAAGGTACAGACTATACAGAAGTGAGATTCATGTACGCATTTGTTCATTCAACAGACATTTAAAAATTCCTACGATGTTCAAGAATCTGCATATAGCAATAAACTTAAATTCCCTGATTTATGTAGTGAGGGCAACAGCTAATAAACAAATAAAAATATATAATTTCAAGTGGACATAAGTTCTACATAGAAAATAAATGAATGCTCTTACTGTAAAGGCACCCAATGCAATCTATCTAACAATAGGGGAATCTTTTCATTTTGGTAAATGTAGATCCACAGCAATATTTTTAATGGCTGGGCATTCCATTGTATGGAGGATCATGGTTTCTTTTACACATGGTTTTTCTCTTTTTATGTAAAAGAAGTCAGAAAAACAGAAATAAAAAAACAAAGAACAGAGGGGCAGATAAAAAAACAAGTAGCAAGATGATAAATTTAAATTCAATTCTATCAAGAATCACATTAATTGTAAACAGTCTAAACACTAATTAAAAGAGATTGATCTGAAAAGTAAGGCCCAAATATATACTGCTTAAGGGAAATTGCCTTATATATAAAGACATAGGTAGGGTAAAAGTGAAAAGATGAAAAAAGATACACCATTACACTAATCAAAAGAAAGCTGGAGTAGCCATATTAATTATCACAAAATAGATTTCAATATAAAGAATATTACTAGAGATAAACAGGGACATTACTTAATGATAAACAGGTCAATTCACCAAGAAGGTACATATGGGGCTTCCCTGGTGGCACAGTGGTTGAGAGTCCGCCTGCCAATTCAGGGGGTGCGGGTTCGTGCCCCGGTCCGGGAAGATCCCACATGCCGCGGAGCGGCTGGGCCTGTGAGCCATGGCCGTTGAGCCTGCGCGTCCGGAGCCTGTGCTCCGCAACGGGAGAGGCCACGACAGTGAGAGGCCCGCGTACCGCCAAAAAAAAAAAAAAAAAAAAAGGATTGTCCCATCTTTTTGATGAAGGCGCCAAACAGTGAAGCTTCAAAATACATAAGACAAAATGTGATAGAGTTGAAAGGAGAAACAGACAAATCCACAACTATCAATGGAGATTTCAATATTCCTCTCTCAATAACTGATAGAACAAGTAGACAGAAAATCAGCAAAGATATGGACAGCTAGAACAATTTTATTTAATTAACATTTATAGAATATTCCATTTAGAGCAGTATGCACATAATTTTCCAACGCACATAGAACATTCACATAGACCCCTTTCTGGGCTGTAAATTAAACCTTAATAAGTTTAACAGAACTGAAGTCATACCAATTATTCTTGCTGACTACAATGCAATTAAAATAGAAAATCAATATTTGGAAAATCCTCCAATATTTAGAAATCAAACAAATTAAGTTGCTCATCTGAGAACAAGATATCTCACCATTTATTCAGGCCGTCTTTTATGACTCTTGGTTGGGTTTCATTGCTCTCTTCATCTATCATGTATATATTTTAAAAGTTTATTCTAGGTATTTATTTCATTTTATCTTATTTTATAGCGTGGCTGCTTTTGTGAATGGGGTCATTACATTGTATTTCTAACTGACTCTAAGGACATTGATTTTGCTTTTCTGAAAAAAAATCTGACCTCCTTATTGATCTCAATATTTCCAATGATTTCATTTTATTCAGCTTTTCAACTGTGTGATCAGATTATCTATAAATAAATAAATAAATAAATAAATAATAATGACAATTTCCCCCTCTTTTAAAATATTTATATTTCTTCATGCTTTTGTCTAATTGTATTGACTAACACTTTTGGAACAATGTTAAATGAAGTAGTGGTACCCAGGACACTTGTTTTGTTCCTGATCTGGAAGGCGTGCCTCTGGTACCTCACTACTCACCCAGCCTGGTTTCTAATGGCTGCAGTGAACTGATGGGTTGTGAAGGCAGACACAGCCCAGTTGCCTTGAGCAAGTAAAACTGAAGAACCTAGTTCCATGCAGTGAACAGCCTCTGTGGGGGAAAAGCTGAGCTAAAAGTCTAAGACTTCAGCAGAGAACCAGGGTTGCTCAAGTGCAGAATTGCAGCTATATATATGCGGCTCTCTAGGTGGCTCCTCTGTTGGCTTTTGGAGAAGGAGAGGGGCTGAGAGTGTGATTTCAGGGGTGTGTAGACATCGCCTGTCTTGGAGACTGAAATTCCTCAAGGAGAAGTTCATTTGAGATCTGGGGCTTTTTGTTCTTTGTCCTCCTGAAAAGATCCCACCGTTAGCCTTTGCAGCTTCCAGGGATTAGCTGACAGTAGTTCTGGGCTGAGAGGAGGGGCAGAAAGCCTGGGAAAGACACTGGTCGCTGGCTGGCGTGAAGTGTGGGGAAGAGATTGTTAGAAGGACGCAAATACAAACCTTACTCGTTCCACAGTGTTGACTGAGGCTTCCCCATCCTTCCCAGGGCCCCTTATCAAACCTTAGTGAAGGGAGTTCACACCTCTGAGGATCAGCTGGGTATCTTGAGGAAACAGCCCAGGGCGGTCTTTGGTGCCAGAAAATCCTGGCCGCTTCTTCAGAGGTGTGAGCCTTGAGGTCACAGCGCTACAGTGGCAATCATAAAATCCACTTCACAAGAAAGGCATGAAGGAATTCAATAATACACATAAAATTCCTAGCCCAGTTCTAGGCACATAAATGCTTGTTGCCTTGCTGTATTAAGGATGGAGGAGGGAAGGGTTTACCTGATCCTTATTATGTGGATGGGGCCACTGAGGCTCTGTGCAGATGTGTGTTTTCCTCCTTTGCTGTTCCTAGGACTGTGAACCTCAGTAGTTAGCATGGGGTCAGCCTCGGGTGATTTCTACAATAATAAAGGAGTATCAGAAATGCCTGTTGTTTCTGCCACCTCCGTTGCTACCTGACATGAAATAGACTATGATGAAAACACTTTGGGCTGGGCGGGACAGTCTTAAATCCCACCTTCATGCTTCCCTCTTAGGCTACTTTTGACTTAAAAAAAAATATGCACAACGTGAGAGTCGCGAGTTAAGTTTTACTTGGGGCAAAATGAGGACTGCAGCGGGGAGACAGATAACGCAGGAACTGCTCCAAGGAGGCGAGGGGAGGAGCCGGGATAATAGAGTTTTGCAACAAAAGATAGGTAACTGGGAACATCAAAAGATTATTGTTAAATAAAGAAAACCAGGTATCTCAAGTTAAGGAATTTGGCGCTTTTCTACGTATGGGAAGATGCAAGAGTCTGGGCTCACTGAAATCATTCCTTTGATATGCACCTCAGCTTTCTGGGGCCAGTATTCTATTTTCACAAACAGTTTCCTCAGGGCTCACCGCAGGGAGTGGCTGCAGTCTGATGGCTGCTAGATGGCAGGTATTCTTTTCAGCCCGGAGTTTCCTCAGGGCTCACGCTGGAGGGCTCAATCATTGGTGACTGTGACATCCTTTGTTTATCGATATGGCAGGAAATAGTCCATTTATCGCTACCATGCCGCCGGGAAGGATGGGGCAGAATCTCTCTCTGCTATGAAGACACCAGAGGTAAATGACTGAGTGGAGAAAGCGCGCGCCTTGCGTCGGGCTGTTGCTGCCTCTGACCTGTCCTGGTCTTGTTGATGATGGTGGTGGCACCAAAACATACTCAGAAAGAGCCGTCGTCACAGCTGCCCTCCGTGTGATGCCGTAAACCTCTAGCAAAAGATCCTGAACATCGTATCCACCTTCTCTCCAAGTAACTTTGTTTTAGGAGGGAAAGTATCTTTAACACACAGACTGAGTTCACTTGAAGAGGAGAATCACCAGGGATGCTGGATGAAATGGTAGACACGGTCTAAATAATAGAATGTTAGCCCCACGAGGGGGATGGTGCTTCTTGGTGACCTCCCTGTGCTGTGACTGGTACAGCAGAGAAAGAGCCAGGACCAGGTCAGAAAGATGCCTCAGTGCAGAGGAGGGCCATCCTATCAGTGACAGCCAGAAGGTGAGACTAGTTGGATGTAGCAACTGGGGTGCAAAGGAACAGAGGTGGGGAGGTCATAAAAAAGAATGACAACAAACTAGTGAATATAACAAAAAAGAAGCGGACTCACATATATAGAGAACATGGTTATCAGTGGGGAGAAAGGAGCGGGGAGGGGCCACATAGGGGTAGGGCAGTGGGAGGTGCAACCTACTGGGTGTAAGATAGGCTCAAGGATGCATTGTACGACCCGGGGAATAGAATCAATAATTTTGTAATAACTGTAAATGGAAAGTAACCTTTAAAAACTGCATAAAATAAAAAGTATTTTATAGCTACTAAATTCCAGCACTATATTAAGAATAAAGTATTTTCTTTATGCACCTTCAAAAAAACAAAAAACAAAAAACAACACGGCTAGGAGCCGCCCCCGAACGCTGGCTCCAGCCACAAGTTCCACCGAGCATGTCTTTCACTCACATGGGGCGGGTCTGACCACCTGCTTCCGCTCTTTCCAAGAAAAGACAGTTTAAGCTTCTAAATGCCACGCATAAATGCTCAGTTTTATAACTTCCTTGTGAAATGAGTTCCCAGTAAAGTCACTGTTTTGTTATTCCCTAAGTTCAATGTTAGGGGGCCTGAATCTGGAGACAGAGACAACCCCTCAAATTTTTCTTTCACACCAGAAACCATCCACATGGGACAGTGACAGCCCCGCCCCACCCCAGCCAGCCAAAATGTCATGTGAAGTTGGGCCACGTTTTTCTGACATGGTTTCTTCAGGAGTTGAGAATCTATCAAATGACAAACATGGAAGTAAGAAGAGGCAAAGAATACACATCTCAGCGTTCTACGTGTGACTAGAGACCGAGGGGCCCTGTCACCTGCTGGTCTCACCTCTGATCCCCTGGCAGAGAGCTTTCCCTCGCAGGTTCCAAGGAGTGGCTTTTTGACACATGGAGGAAACTGGACATTTTCAAGCACTAGGAGGCAGTTCTGTCAAAAAGGGAATTTTGCCTTTTCCGTAAAGCAGCCACCTCTAGGCCTGGAGAGGGAGCTGTCCACAGGGTGGATTGCAAGGAAGAGGCTGACATGGAAAGGAAAGCTCAGCCCTTCTGAAATGAAAGACAGTACACGGAATAAACTCACTCTCCACCAGCAGCAAGTGCTTTTTCCCTGCGCTGTGGCCCAAAGGCCTGTCCGGCATTCGCCCATTTCTGTGCTTAGTCTGCGGGGCAGGCCCGGTGATGGCCCCTGTGGGCCTTTCAGGAGAGCGGCCAGAACCAATCCAGCCATCGTAGGTGTGGAGACCCCCATCCAGGCTGATCATACCCTCTAGGCTGGCATTCTGGAACTGCAAACAGGAGACGTTAGCCTTGTAGGCAACCAGGAGGCCAGAGAAGGAGGCCAGCCAGTCCACAGACAGAGAGGAGGCAGATCTGACCAGAAGACAAGCCACTCAGGTACAGCACTGAGGATTCTCCAGTTCCTGGACCCACGTCATGCCCTGACCTGCATTCTGTGAATCATCCCTGCACCCTTATAACATTTAACCCCCATTTTAGGTAATATACTTAAACAAACAAAAAGCCTTGTTCAGTATTGAAGTGAATTTGACCCGGGCTTCAGTTGATTGCCACCGAAAGGGTCTAAACTAAGACAGAAGAGAAAGTCCTTCTTCATCTGGGCTTTGTCTCACCCACGGGTGTCTGACTCCGTTTCCTTTGTCCGTGGCCTCAATCACCTCCACCGGCCACTTCCACCTTTTGATGATGGGGGTTCCTCGTATGTGAGTCACCTCTGACTCTGTGTGACCTTTTGAAGGCCGCCTGGCCTCTCTGCGTCTCAGCCGCTTGTCTATAAGACTGCAGTTGGCTCAGCTGCCACACTGTGCTGGAGGGAACCCTTGGTAAGATCTCAGGATCCTTGAAATATGTTTTGCAGAGGCAGGGTTGTTGCACGAATGAACCCAGTGCTTATTAAGTTAGCTGTAGACTCTGTTCTTTCAGCCCCGCATGTTTGGGACCCTCTGTAATCCGGTTCCTTTCTCAGCACCCTGGCCCAACTCAACAAAAGCCTCCTTGTAGGAGGGAAGTCTCATGGCCCAAGGAGTAGGTGGAGGGTCCTGCCCTCTCTGGTGGCAGGGGGCCCATTTCCAGGAGTGATAGAGTTGAAAGAGAAGGGGATTTGGAGTCAGGAGTCCTGGATTTCAGAGCTGGCTCTAGCATTTGCTAGAAGTCTGGCCTTGGGCGAGCCCGTCAAATTCTCTGAGTTTTAGTTTCCAGATCTGTAAAATCAGGGTAGAAATGATCTCCCCTGTTGTGGCATTGTTGAGAGGATTCAAAGGGACAATATTTGGAAGTGCTTTGTAAGCCAGAAATCCCTACTCAAATCGTGTGTTATTAAGTATCATGATGGCAATTCTTTTTCACACCATGCTCAGATGTTGCAAAGTAAACATAACATCTTATTTTTCACAACTGACCTAGCTGTCCCCAGGAATGCCACCCCTCTGGGGAACAACTGTCACAGCAAGGATGTCGATTACAACTTGTCAGATTCCAAATGCTTTCTATATACTATTTATTTAATTTTTACAGCAACCCTGTGAAGCAGGTGCCAATGCCAACTCCAGTTCAAAGAAAAGGAGGCTTGGATAGGCTAGTTAATATCTGAGTCTCTTCCTACTTCAATGGTCTCTTTTCGGTTGAAAGCAGTCCTTTTCAAGGACATGCTGAGCTCTGCCCCACTCCATCCTCCTCCCCAAGATGGCCTCTGAGTAGGGGGAGTTCATGGAGTCCTTGTGGCTGCAGAGGTAGTCTCTGATGCCTGCGGTGCCCTTGTACTATTCTCTGTACTGTGGGACATGGCGTCCCCTGTCGGCCTGATGCTGCTGGTGCTGTGGCCCCTCTGGGTCAGCGCAGCCCCAAAATCCCCCCTGCTGACTCAGCCCCATCTGGCTGTTGGTGGAGCTGGGTGTCCCCCTGACACTAGCTGAGGACACTATTGCCCCTCCGGCCCACAGGGTCCTCCTTGAAGCCTCCATTGTGGCAACACCCCACATAAGATCACCACCCAGCCCCCTCCACTCGCCATGTGCCCCTACGTGGCTTATAGAAACTCTTGGACGCCTTCCAAGCCACACGGGGGAGCTCTGCCCTGAGGCAGCGTCCCATCCGTTTTACTCTGATGTAGTCACCCTGGAAATATTTATTGAGCACCTACTATGTTCTGGGCACTGTTCTAGGTTTTGGGGATCAGTGAACCAAACAAACATCCCTGCTCTAGTGGAGCTGACATTCCAGCAACGCCATGGCAGTGGACAGGGCATCCTCCTAGGGGGTCTCCTCCCAGGGTCCCAAGATGTGGTGCAAAAGCCCCTCTCACCTCGGCCTCCCTCTCAACTAACAGTGCCCCCTCATGGGGAGAGAAGTCCAGGCATACTGATCTCAACCCACGCTCCGTCCCATGTAGCCAGAAGGTATAGGCATTTCACTTTACCGTCCTCATTGGCAAGGGTTTCCTTTGCCCCAATCCATCCCCTTCTGGGCAGTGAATTGGGAAGGGCTGAGGGGGTGTCTGCTCTCCCTTCCACTCTTTGATAGAGATGCAGGTGGTCTCGGCTCTTAACATGCCAAAGGGAAATATTGGGGATTTAGAAAAGATTTCCCCTCTATCTACAAAAACTGGCTTTCAAGAGTATGGTCCTGATAAATAGGCAAAGAAAGTCAACTTCGAGACTCAAAATCAAGTGGGGACCTGCCCTGTACTTCCTTGGGTGTGTCCAGCCTCGGGGTTCCGTGTTGGAGGTACAATGTTGATAGGGAGCAAAAGATTTCAGGGGAAAGTGAAAATACATCAGCAACCTCAGGGACTAACCAGGACAGAAATATCATCAAACAAGTCTCATATTCTGACACATATGCTGAAGGTCAGTAACTTTGTCATGTGTTCCCTGGAACTTTCACTATAGCTCTTTATGACAATGTCGGTGGGGACTGTAAAAACATTTACACCCAGTAAATCTTTCTTTGAATGAACAAATGATCTATTAGAGAGCATACTTCATGTTATTCATGTCAAGGAATAAAGTCTGAGGACCCTAGACTACAGTCAGTTCACAAAACAGTGTATTTAACTGCTACTTGACACCCAACACTGAGGGGTAGACACGAAGACAGTTCTTGCCTGTGAGAAGGAAGAGAAAACTAGCACATGTGAAGCAATGACTAACCTATTAATTCAGAGAAGGGAGAGGTGAGTGTAGGATGGAGTTTTCCGAGGCTCTTCCTGGAAGAACTAGAGACTGAGGTCAGCAAAGGGAAGGAGACAGAGGGCAGGAGGTGCAGCGGGCTTGGGGTGGGAAGGCAGGAGTGGGCTTGCTGAGGGCTGAAAGAGACAGGCTGACCAGAATGGATGGCAGAGGAAACAGCGGCGGGAATTGAAGCCAGACAGGGGCAGCGGCAACCATGGGAAACCTGAAAAATCAGATAGAGGACTCTGGACTTGAAATGGGTTTTGACCCAAATATTTTCAAACACAAAACAAGCTTATTTCTTGTTGGTATAGATGGAAGTCTGATCTCATTGGTGGTGGCTTTCCTCCTCACGGTAATCAGGGACCGGGCACCTTCCGTTTCCAAGGCTGCCGTCACCTAAGCCTCCTTGTTGTCTGCTTCTAACAGGTACTCTTCTTAATTTTGCTCATATTCCCCTGCCTAGAACTCAGCGATTTGCTACATTTAGTACCTGGGAGTCTGGTAAATGTAAGCCAGCCGTGCTCCCAGGGAGAGAAAATGGATTTTGGGTGCACGGTTAGCAGAGTCTGCCGCACCCATCGCTTCGTCATCCAGGCACAGCTCAGGGAGGTTTGGGGAGAGAAACAGCAGCTGAAAATCGACAGCTCGGAGGTCATACGTGATGTTATGAAGGCCCAAAGCTGTCTGAGGACAGTAGAATGCAGAAGAAGAGAAGGGTGTAAAAAGAACACTGGAATTGGGAAGCGGGGGTGGGGCAGGATTGATTTTAGGAAATGAATGAAAGAGTGCTCAGTGAATTTGCTAAATCCAAGGTGACTCCAGGGTCTGTGACCTCAGAGACCAGAGAGGGATGGCGCATGTGACAGAAACACGGATGGTCAGTGCCAGGCTGAGGGAGCCGGTCTGGGGCAAGAAGGTGGTGAGGTGAGAAACCGAGCGCCTTGCAAAAGCAGTAAGAAGGGATTCAAGGAAAGAGATGAATGCTAACTGACCTCAGCCTTCTTATTGGGACTGAGACCTCACCCCTTAGGACTATGTCCTCTTGTCCCCAGATGATGAATTGAGAGGCGGCGGGTCCACAGACCTTCAAGGGCTGTACCAGATAAGCTGGCGTCACCCTAACCTTCAGATCGGCCCCTGCCCGTTTTAGACACAGAGGGTACTCATGCTCCTTTTGAAAAAGGTTCCAGAAAAATGGATGCTGCTTCCACTGTGAAGTCTAATACCACCATCCCCCTAGCTGCACGTTTAAGCCTCTTCCCATGTACCTTTTTCAAAGGCAACAGTACTGTAAAGCAGCTGTGGGGTAACACACACAGAGTTACCTGCATAGCAGACCCTCATGACGCATACTGATGAGATTTCATGAATCTAAATGATCCAGAGTTTATTCTCAGACTATACTCAGTAAACAGCCCCCTTAGCTGCTAGGTCCCACTGCTCTCTCAGACCACTTCCCTACCCAAGCCCCCTCTCCATACACACACGCCCCTCCCAGGGAGGGCATTCATGACTTGATTCAGCTGTACTTTTTGCTTGAATGTCGTTTTTTTACCATCCACCAACTCTTTTCTCCCATGTCCACCTGGGGAGATGACCCCCGCACACCCCCAAAGGCTGACTGGGCTTGAGTGAGGAGCAGCGGGGAAGCTTACTGGGGGACAAACTCCCTAAGGACGATGGAGCCCACAGCCAAACCCTCAGTGAAGAGAGGGATAGCCCCACGCAGGCTGAGTGCCTGGGGTGAGTCTGGGAGAGGAGAGGAAGGGCCGCAAGGGGGAGAGTTTGAGAAGAGCCAAATTGAGTTGGGGGGGCAGCAGCCTGACTCACCCCTGAGTCCATGAGATGGGGTGAGTGTCCCTCAGTGCCCGCCAGGCCCCTTCACAACACCCAGGACATCCCAGTAGGCTCTGTCCCATGATGCATGGTGTGCGTTCCCACGGTGGATGGCGTTGAGAACATCTGGAACAAAGGGAGAACCTTCTAACGCAGCCCTGTAGGCTGACTCGGCCGCAGGAAGTTACAGGAAGGTGACATAGGAGTCACAGTCACATGAGAGATGTAAAGGCCATCAGAGCTCTGGTGTGACCTGCCCAGGAGTAAATGCTCACCCCGGGCCCAGGATAGCAGAGAAATACCGCAGCTCACCTGGGCGGGATTGCTCAGGCTCCTCAGGAAACAGAGCCCTCACTTTGCCATGGAGAGACTGGAGATCAGTTCAGCACCTTCGAGCACTTAGGACACACGAGGCACAGAGCTGGAAGGAAACTCGGAGACCACGTCCTCTACACCAACTAGTGGTGCCCAAGCCAGAAGCCCAGCTCCCGTTTCCTGTATCTCTTCACCATCCACTCTCTCCCACCTTCTCCCAGGAAATTAGTTTATAATAAATGAGACAGGCTTTCCCAGGAAACCTCAAGACTGAGAGCAGGAGAGAGAAGATGTCCAGCCGTTGAGGTGTGATTCCCAGGGCCATGCCTGTGGGGAGAAGCCAGGTGTCCCTAGACCTGACAACCCTTTCCATTCTCATTAAACCCAGGCAGACCCCTTTCCCCGGTCTCATGGCAAGACCGTCTCCTGCCCCAGTTCACTGGTATCCCTAGAATCAGGGATTCCACCTACTTGTCCCTTAAAGGTCAACAGCCACAGAGCTGTGCCAGGAAGAAATGTGGTTTCCATTTCCCTCTCATTGCTATTTCCTTGCATCAGCCTCACTTCCCCATTCCTCATTGCTTCCCCCCAGTAAGAGGAACTCTGACCTCGTGCAATGAGCATGTAGCGAGTAAACGCTGAGCGTCAGATGGACGTTGTTTGCGTCCAACATCCATCCTCACCAGCTGTACAGTCATGAGCAAGTTCTTTAATCTCTCCATCTGTGTCTTTATTTACAAACTGAAATTGAAAGTATCCTACTTTCAGAAGTTTTGTGAGAGCCCTGGCGCATAAATGTGACGTACAGATGGAACTCGATACTATACTAATATACTTTATTCGATTACTTATTCCAATCCATGCTAGCTTGGTGGTGGTGGTGGTGTTTTAGAGCACAGAGCTGGGCCAAGGAGGAGGAAGGTGGATGATGAGAAGGAGGTGCCCAGCCGCTGTGCCCTTCCCAGCTCTCCCTCCTGGTCTCACGCCCCACCCCACCACCAGCCTGGTTTCCTCTTCACCTCAGTACCAGCGTGCCCCCATGTGACCCCACCTGTGGACTGGCCCAGTCACAAAGGCCCAAGAGACTCACGGCTTCTGGCTTTCCCTCTAAAGCGGCAGCGCTCTGACTATAGGGTCTTCTGCGACTCCCGTAGTCACCATTGCCACCTCTGGGCTCCTTCACTTACAAGGCCTAATCAGGAAAGAGACGGGGGGACCCTGAGGAGGAAGTGCCTTTGCCTGAATCCCGTTCCCATGTCTGCCAGCAGCGACATCAAAATGGTACAGATGAACCGGTTTACAGGGCAGAAGTTGAGACACAGATGTAGAGAACAAACGTATGGACACCAAGGGGGGAAAGTGGCGGGGGACGGGTGGTGGTGGGATGAATTGGGAGATTGGGATCGACATATATACACTAATATGTATAAAATGGATAACGAATAAGAACCTGTTTTATAAAAAAATAAATAAAATTCAAAAAACAGAAAGAAGAGGCAGAAAGGCTCTGAGCTCACCTGGGGACCTAAGGGGTGGAAGTCCGTTCCTCTGAGAATGTGGTATTTGTGTTTTTCAGAGATGACTTTGATGGTTAATATTATACATCAACTTGACGGGGCCTCGGGGTGCTCAGATATTTGGTCCAACGTTTTTCTGGGTGTGTCTGTTTCTGGGTGAGATTAACAGTTGAATCGGTAGACTGAGTAAAGCAGGTTGTTCTCCCCAGTGTGGGTGGGTCTCACCCAATGCATCGAAGGCCTGAATAGAACCAACAAGCTGACGAAAAAGAACTTTTCTTGCCTGCCTGCTGAGCTGGAACAACAGTCTCTCCTGCCCACAGACTGGAACTTACGCCACTGGCTCCCCAGGGAGCGGACTGCAGATCCTGGGACGTCTCAGCTTCCAGAACTGCATGAGCCAATTCCTTATATCAGTCAGTCCGTCTCCAGCTGGTTCCTTTGCTCTGCAGAACCCTCATACATGCCTGCAGCAATAGCTGATGTCCCACCGTCCTCCTTACTAGGAATGTTGACCCTCCCACATCGAGAGGTCGGGCCTATACCCCCTCCCTTTGACCCTGGGTAGGCTTGTGACAGAAACGAAAATGACAGGTCATAAAAGGTGATACAGCTTCTGCTTGGTTCTCTTTTCCTGTTGTCACCTTTGCTGATATAACACACAGAAGTTCAGAGCCCACAGAAGCAAGAAAGCTAGAGGCAGGGCAGGGACCAGGACGGGCGCCCACCTCTCTGCCTGAGCTGTGCCCCCCTCGGTGGACTCCCACTTCCCACAGCCTGGCCCCTACATTACTGGCAGTTTGATCAGTCTCCAGGCTCCCTGACCCGACTCCCTTGGGGGCACAATGCTGAACAGATGTCCAGCACCCAGAAAACGGAACAGCTTTCTAGGACAAGAGCTCAGTGACAACCCACTGCTCAGTGACAGTTTCCTGAGGGACTCAGGCTATGGTCCTGAAGCGTGTCCTCCCAGTTTCACTTTTAAGACTCCTGCTTGCCGCAGACTCCTGCCCTTCCTCTGACCCTGGAATCTTCCAGAGTATACTTTCCACCAAGGAAAGGGGAGAGAGAAAGATATTTCGCTCCCCATTGTAGGCCAGCTTTTATGTCTCGGTCGGAACAGTGTGGCCTTCCAATCCAGGGAGACAGAGATGGAGACAAGAGGAGACAGACAGACAGACAGACAGTGGGAAGCAGAGAGAGCTGGGAGTCTGAGAGGCCCAGGAGATGAACTCAGCTCAGCCAGTGTTGACGTGGAGCTTGCCCTTTGCCAGCTCTGCTCTGCACTGAGGGGAAAGAGGTAAATGTGCCCCAGCCTTGCCCTTGGGGCCCTTGGAATCTAGGGGATTTGGACACACACGTAAACAAAGTCAAACAAAGACATGTGCTAAGTAAGCCCAGGATGGTCACGAAGGCAGCACTACGGGATTGGGACCAGCTGGCTCAGGGCCCCAGAGCAGGCTGCAAAGAGGGTGACACGGAGCTGAGTTCATTTGTAGTTTTAATACAACAAACGTATTCTTGAGCCCTGGCTGTCAGTCAGGCACCGTTCTGTACTCTTTACTTATTTAACTTCATTTAATCAGCAACAAGCCTACATGATTGATATTCTTATCACGCCCATTCTACAGATGAGGAAACTGATGCATAAGGAGGCATGACCGGCCAAGGTCACACTGCTGGTAAATCACAGAGCCAGGGTTTGAACTCAGGCGTTCAGGCTTCTGGGCTCTTGCTGTAGCCCTTGCCCTACTGCCCTTCCGGATGTCACAGGAGAGCGAGGCTGAGAGGGTCTTGAGAAATCACCTACGTCTGTTTCCCACACTCCCTGTTTCTCACACCCCCGATCCCTTTGACCACAGCAACACTTAGCAGAAACAGAGATGCCCACATCCCTCTGTGGAGAGTCGGATTCAGGTGGTCTGTCGTGAGGCCCAGAGAGCTGGGTTTTCTACAATTAGCCTGGATGACTCTTCTACCATTGGCCTGGATAATTTTTCTGGTCAGACACTGATCTAATTTGACCTGATCTACCACTAACTTCTACAGGTGAGCAAAGCAACTCAGAGGAGTTTAGAGAAGGCCCAGGATCACATGACCAATCGGCGGCTGAGCCCACCCCAGAAGCAGCGACCCTGGCTCTCTCAGCCTCCCCCTGACCCATTGTCCTGCAGGCTCTTTGAGGGAAGCCTTCTTTAGAAGAAACTCAAGGAAACGTTTCTTTTCCTGGCCCTGGCTTCTGAGGTGAGGCTGCAAAACCTCTGCAGATCTAAACAAATTAATTCGCTTCCTATGTTGGTCCTGAGTCTGTTGAGTTCACCAGTGCAGCCAGCAGTCACATATGTCCTGTGCTTTGAGGGCCTCTAAGAGACACTCCCTCACTGCCCAGTCCACCATGGCTCTGCAATTCCCACCATTAGATCCAAGAAGGCTCTGAAATGCAAATGGATTACGTAGGAATGCAGGATGCCCATGGCCACTAGGATCTTTGTTCATCAACAGATCCAGACTTTAAAGGGTTGAGACAAAGGACAGCTGTGCTTTGATAGAGAAAAATGACAAGAAGAAAAAGAAGACGAAAGTTTGAAATCTGAATATCTGAGTGCTGCCACAGAGGTGGACCCAGATGGAAACTAGGTTTCAGGGATTGCAGGAAAACCACCAAAGATCAGCCACCACAAAGCATCAGAGCATAGCTTGGGACCTTATTAGCAAAGTGTTCTTAACTGGAGTGTTTTCCGGTACTCCAGAAATAAATTCCCTTGGGTGGAGACAGTATTGATCTACCTAATATATAGTTCTCTTTTGGAGTAGCTAACTCTAGAGATTTCCTTGAAAAACACACAGCCTCTGGGAAGGACTGACCTCAGGTTGTATATTTTTCCAGCCGAAAACTTGAGGACAATTCCAGATAACACATGCCTCACACATGGGTAATAGTGACCCAACAATGTAACATCCCTGCCGCAGGCCTGTGTTTATTTCTTCCATTCTGCAAGGAAGGCCCTTCTCACCCACAGTCACCCAACACTAATGTTCCAGAGTCATGCCTTCCTACCCTCTGGAAGGGATGGCTGGAACCCAGCCAGGAGACAATCTCTCTCATGTCTTCATGAAGTAAATCACTGAGTTCCCAGTTCTGGAAAGTCATCATGCTGTATTTTAGTAAGATATTTCCTTCCATAGTAAATCAACCAAGCTATTCAAAGGGTGATAGATTGCATCACCTCCAAACACTCTCCAAAAAAGTTGGGTTATCAACCCACCACCCCTCATCCCCTCGCTAGAATGCTAGTGTGTCAAAGATGGGGAAGACTTGAGAGAGCGTATGACCCAGAGGACACAAGCTCAAATGCTCACAGGAGGCAGACAGGTAAAGTCATGAGCAATGCAAGCCAGGTAGGGGCCATCGTGCCTCCGAGAGTTCATTTCTCAGACAAGTAAATAAAATGCAAAAAAAATTTAAGACGCATGTCCTTCTGACTCCAAATCTTTTTTTTTTTTTTTTTTTTTTTGCGGTACGCGGGCCTCTCACTGTTGTGGCCTCTCCAACTGCGGAGCACAGGCTCCGGACGCGCAGGCTCAGCGGCCATGGCTCACGGGCCCAGCCGCTCCGCGGCATGTGGGATCTTCCCGGACCGGGGCACGAACCCGTGTCCCCTGCATCGGCAGGCGGACTCTCAACCACTGCGCCACCAGGGAAGCCCCCAAATCTTTTTCCTTAGGCCAGGTGTATTCATTTCCTGGAACTGCCATAGCAAATTTCCACAAACTACATAGCTTAAAACTACAGAAATTTATTATCTCACAGTTCCAGAGGCCAGGAGTCTGAGATTAAGGTGTTGGCCGGGCCATGCTCCCTCTGAAGGCTCTAGTGGGAAAGCCTCTTCCAGCTTCCGGTGGCTCCAGGCATTCCTTGGTCTATGGCTGTGTAACTCCAGTCTCTGCCTGCATCTTCTCATCTCCTTCTCTGTGTCTGTCTCCTCTTCTGTGCCTTATGAAAAGAGTTTCTTGGATTCAGGGCTCACCTACATAATCCAGGATGATCTTATCTTGAGATCCTTAATTTGATTACATCTACAAAGACTCTTTTCCCAAATAAGGTCACATTCACAGGTTCTGGAGGCTAGGACATGGACATAGTTTTTGAGGGCCACCATTCATCCCATACCAGACCAGAGGAGAGAAAGAAGAGAATAAATGAGCCCCTCTGGAATCTGCAGGTGAATCTCAGCCATGTAATTCCCTTTTTCTAATTTCAAAGAGTAATTTGCATCCACGTTTGTTCTTTTACCTTTGTTGGCTGTGTCTCTCCTTAAAACTTCTGCATAACATGTGGTCAGCATATGCTAACTAAGGATCCAGGCTACCTTGAGCGGCTACAGTCATGACTCACATTCTTTTACGATCCCAGCAGCCCTCATCCCTTTTCCTTTGTACAGAGCAGAACTTCTTCTTTCTACTTTTGAGTCCATTCTCTACTCCTTCCTCTGCCCCACCTCTCCCCTAACCCAGTGCTACCAAGACTGTCTCTTCCTCATTCCGGAAGGGCTCCTAACACATTTTAGCCTGAATCAGAAACACCAGAAGGACTTGCTCAAGTAGAGATGGCTGGGCTCACCCTCAAAGATCATGACTCAGTAGGTCCCAGCTGATGCTGATGCTTCTGGTCCCAGGGCCACCATGACAAGCACTGCTCTAGCGCAGCACCATTCTCCTTCCTCCTCTGGTGGTGTTCACTTATTCCCATCCCCCCAGTACCACATCCGCCTTCCTCTGCGCCCTGTGGTCCTTGCTCAACCCCATCTGCTGGAGTTACCTCCAAACAACTGGAGCCACAGCTGATTCAGCTTCCATCCTACACACATAGAATCCTACCTAACCATTTCATACCTTTGATGTTGATGAAAAACCTTTCTGCTATTCCTCCACTCTCTTAGTTCTCCAAGTCAAAGCTGAGGAAACCCAAGTACGTAACTTGGACTTATAATCAAAAAGCAGGAACATCTAGTCCTGAACGGGGAAGGTGGCAGCCTTGGAGACAAGCCTGACTTTAGATGCTCTCAAAGGACTAAGAAAATGGGCAGTCTGGAGTTGGCTCTGACCCAGTCTGGGACAATTACTGAGAAAACATCCAAGCCCACTTCCACCCCCTCCTCCACCCATGCTCCTTCTGTCCTCACCAGACCCACGTGCCCCAGAGCATTGCAACCCTTCTCCAGGGGGAGCGTCCAGATGCCAACAGACTGTCTTCCCAGGATGTTGAGCAACACATGGCGAAGTATTTCCAGCATTCGTGCTCTCCCCCAACGGCCTGCAAGACATTTTCTCTAAGGAATTTCAACACGCATAACTACTGCTTTGTTCCGATGTGAATGAGGGTTTGTCTGGGTGCCAGTGTTTCACCATGTAGGAGATTAGCAACATGAGCTGAAGCCTCTTAGCAGCCACATTACAGGCTTAACGATCTTTCTTCATATTATGCGCAAATGTCAAACAGTCTAGAAAAAAAAGGGGGGAGGGAGTCAGTCCTGTTTGGAGAGCTAATTAATA